CTCTCTCTCTCTCTCTCTCTCTCTCTCTCTCTCTCTCTCTCTCTCTCTCTCATTTGAATACATGTCTAATAATTTGTGTTTTACTAATTTACTAACGTCTACTTAATATGCTCGACTTTATGGCGAGAGGAAGAGAGTTTTTTCTTCAACTCTTGAAGCTCATATGTTTATCGGCTACAATTTAGCTTCCACAGTTGCCTTTAGCCGGCTTGCCGTGGCTCCACTTGGCTCGACTTGGCTCGACTTGGCTTGGCTTGGCTTGTAGCTGACCGCACATAAAACAAACTTTGCGGTTACTTAATGAAGCTGAAAAATTGCCTTGGTTTTCTATTTTATTTGCACTCACTCACGCTAGCGCCTCGACACACACACACACTTGCACACTCGCACACTCTTTGCCGTATCACTTGCTATTGCTATTGCATTTTTTCCTGCCGCTCTTCGTAATTTTCTTGCCGTTTGCTCTCCTCTTTTTTTCTCTCGTTTTTAACAGCCACAGACACATTTTAAACGCTTTGCGGTGGGTGGCCCTCATCTATGGCAAAGCGTCAGCTCTGCCATTTGCCTTCTACTATTTATGCTGAGTGACTGTCGGCTGGGTCTGGACCTGGGCTGCCATTAAACAGGCTGTCGAGCGGCAGGCGGCAGGCGGCTGGCGGCAGGCGGAGTAGAATTCCTTAAGTTACCTACTCTCCACTCTCATCGAGTCTCCACTGTACACACAACTTGAGCCGGAGCCTGCTCCACTAGAGGCAACTTTTGAGCCACTTTTACAGCCGCTCGCGCAGTCATAACCACAGTCTGTGGCAGGCATTTTCAGGCACTTAACTTTCGAGTTTATCATACCAATTTTTATTTGCATTTTTTGCAACATTTCATTTTTAACTGCCGAACTTTGAGACGGCATATTTCTTGGCCGCCAAGTTTCGAACGGTCTCCGACGGCCTCTTACGGCTTATTAAGTGGCCAACTTGATGCCGATGACACCCGTGCGTGCTCTCGCTCTCTCTCACACTGTCTCTCTCTGAACTTTGGCTCATATGCAAAGCGAAAATTTAATTAAATACGCGCTTGCACTCGTCGATCGCCTCAGCTGCTTTAGCTGACCCAGCTGCCCCATAAATAATTGGCGCTGATTTGTAAATGTCAGCGGACAGTCGACGCCTCGAACTGGTCAAAACGGCAGCGACTGTAGCTGAAATCCAAACTGTCCGCCATGTTTGCCACTTCATTCATCTATCTTAAGTGCACACACAGACACACACACACGCACACACATGTATATGTTTATGTGTATATACAAATGTAGCCGAGTCCGGTCGGTGGAAATGGTCGGTCCTGCTGGCGCCATGCAAAGTGCATGTGTGTGTCTGTGTATGTCTGTGTATGTCTGTATGCTTTGCTAATTGGCCAAGCAGGCGAGCCAAGGCATGGATAACATGTGCCTTTCCCTGCTCCCTCCAGCTCCAGCGCCACCTCTGCTGGTGATTGATTTGTATGGCTTAAGCTGAACGCGCGAGCAAACGCACGATAAACGGTGTAAAATTAATTAGTCACTGCCATGTGCGGCCGCCGTACACAGATGAGTCTAGTATTCGGTTAGCTTGCTTCTCGCATTTGTAAGAGACTTGTATATGTGTGCATGTGTGTGTCGCCTGACTGTCTCGCCAACTCCTGCTGCCGTCAGTCACTCCCTCTCCCTCTCTGTGTGTCATCTGCGCTTTGTTTATAAATAAATAAATGAGCAGACTTACGTAGCCAGCCCCAAATTGGCCATGGCCAATCAATTGCAGTCAGAGCAAATGGCCTGGCCATTTGTTGTTGCCAGCGCCAGTCTTTAAGGTCTACTGCCAGCACTCTTTGACTCCTTCGCGCCTGTTAACGATTGTCAATTGATTTGGTTTAATGCGAGACTCCAAACTTTCATTCGCTTCGCCTGCCGCTGGCCAACCAAACAGAAAGTTTGCTGAAAATTATTGACACGCCGGCAACACAACAAGTTGGCTGCGAGCTGCCCATGTATTCATGTATTAGTGTGTGCTGCAGCCGCAATGACACGATAAACATTTTATTTCACATATTGCCACTTGCCTGGCTTGCGGTCAGCGGTTCGCTTGGGTTCAGCTCGAAAATGCTGTGAGAAGTCGCCAAATGCTGCGCCCGTTCGTTTCATTTGCTGACTTCACACAAAACACAAAATAAAAGACGAAAAATAAAAAGTATAAGTGAAAATAAACTATTTCATCGGCAGCATAAAGTTTATTGTTGTTTATGGTGCAGAAAAGACAAAGTTTTATCTGGCTCGAAGCAAGTGCTTTTGGCCAGAAAAATAAACTCAAATTGCATTTAAGAACTTTAAGTATCCCAAATATTTTCCTGAATAGCCTCTGCTGCTGCACACACACACATACACTCATACACTCACTCACTCATTTCGATGCTCGCTTCATTTAATAACTCTGAAATGTTTGGAACACCTACAAAAGGCGAGCAGCCTGCCACGAGCCTCTTTCCGCCAATTTGTGACATTCATTGTGTGGAGTACGACGCCTAGGCGGTCTCTACGGTCTCCTGCATGCAATAAATCAATCAATATCCTGCCTAAATATATGGCCAACCGCCCTAGGCCCACCCTTCCCCGCCCACCATGGGCTCGTCTGCCACACTGTCTGCGAGTCGACTTCGACTTCGACTTTAAGCCCGAAAATGTCTGACGTCTGCGTGTGTAAAGCCCGGCTGCCTTTCCGTTACTTAGCTGGCAATTTTTCCTTTTTGCTTTTTTATTTTTCTTATTTTTTCTTATTTGTGTGTGTGTGTGTGTGTATGTTTGTGTGTGTTTGGGACATTGATAAACATGTGTCCCCATGAACTTTGCAGTTGTCTTTTGTTTACCGCAATGTTTGCGGCCTGAGCTTTTTATTTGTGGACAGTGGTTAGCCTTTGCTCCTATTGCTCCCTCTGCCCCGTCGCATGTCCCTCCCGGCTTAGCAGCTCAGTTGCAACTGCCTGCTACTCAGACAGGATATTATTGTGTGAGTCTGTCTCTGTGTCTCTGTCAAGCTGCTTGCACAGTGCGTTTTAAATCAAATGTCAATTGTAATGAACTCGACTCGACTCGACTCGACTCAGCTCGAGCTGCAGCAGCAGCAAAAAATGCAATCTTCTCAAAACAGAAACTTCACAGATGCTGAGAGATAGAAAAAGTTTTATAGTTGCGCATGCAAACCCAAAGAGCCATTAATTACGCTCCACACAAGAGATATCCAATGCATATTGACTCTGAAGGCGCTCGCCTTAGATAACAAAGAGATGAGAAACTTTCAGCTAGAATTTAAATTTATATGTGAATATCTAAGCTACGCGCGCTCTCTGTATGTGTGTGTTTATGTGTGTGTGTTTGCTCTGAAACGTGTGAAAGAAATGGAAATTGAAACATTTCAACTTACCCATGAGATGCGAAAAGGACTTGGCGAAACTTACCTGCAAGAGAGAAAGCAAATTGTATTAGTATGTGCAAATGGAATAAATGCTAAAAACTTCAACCATAAACTAAAACTGCAAAACAATTTCGGAGCAACAACAATTGTTATA